AAACCGATCCTCGCGCAAAGCGCGTCCGTGGCACACATCCCAAAAGTATGCCCGCGGCCTACTTTTGGAATGCTCAAGGAAGGCACCTCGGCTCTTTTTAGGTATTTGGAGGCCGATTCGCTAGTGAACTGGCGCGTACAGCAGTCGCTGTAGTTCAACGCCATTGCTAGCTTCCAAAAGACAGTTAGCATGTCCCCTTAGGGGGCGAGCGGAGGGTCCCAAAAGCGCATTGTGTGTACGGTTCGGGTTCGGAGTTTTCGGTGCTTGGCTGCCACTTGCCAGGCCTCATAAATTGCCGGCAGGTGGCAATCCTAAGGGGTGTAGATTGTCAGAAGGTGGCAATCCTGGTGGGGGGGGGGCTAGATTGCCAACAGGTGGCAATCACACCCGCGTTTTTGGTGCTTAGCTGCCACTTGCCAGGCCTAATGGATTGCCGACAGGTGGCAATCTTAGGGGGTCTAGATTGTCGGAAGGCTGCAATCGTAGCGGGGTACAGATTGCCAACAGGTGGCAATCACAGGGGATTTAGATTGTCAGCAGGTGGCAATCTTAGGGAGTACAGATTGCCAACAGGTGGCAATCTTAAGGGGGTACAGATTGCCAACAGGTGGCAATCACAGGGGATCTAGATTGTCAGAAGGTGGCAATATTCGGGGGTACAGATTGCCAACAGGTGGCAATCTTAAGGGGGTACAGATTGCCAAGAGGTGGCAATCCTGGTGGGGGTTGGTGGAAAGGGGGCGGATGGCTGTCACACTCCCTTGCTGGCCGTTTGCCCCTTTGGATTGTCAGCAGGTGGCAATCTTCAGGGCTTCAGATTGTCAGCTGGTGGCAATCTGGGTGGAGCTTGGTGGAAAGGGGGCGGATGGCTGTCACACTCCCTTGCTGGCCGTTTGCCCCTTTGGATTGTCAGTAGCTCTGGACCCTCCCGGCGGATGCGGGTGAAAGCGATGATGGCCGTGTCGCCGCCCCAGTGACCCGGATCGCTGTGGAGGTATTGGCTTTCCTGTAGCCAGGCCTGCACTTGCTCTTCGTCTTCTTCGGCTTCTGCGTTCTCTCTGAGGTACTGGATGATTAGGGCTCGGAGGCATGCCCCGCTCTCGCCGGTGTTCTCCCCGAGCGCGTGGAAGAGGCAGTTGCCGTCGCCTGACATCTTCTTGATGGCCAGCGTGCCCCGAAAGTGCTCCTCTCGGGTGCATTGTCTGCTTGCCTAAAGAGCGCTCTTGAGAGTGGATGCTCGAGGGAAAACGCCGGCCTCGACGCTGGGTCCGGGCTCCGTGTCGTGGTCGGGGTCCGTCTCGGCCCCCCCTCGTCGCGCGGCCGGTCCTTCGTGAGATGGTTCAGCGGCATCCCTTGCGAGCTTTGCCGCTTCCTCGGCTTCGTTGCTTGGCGCTGTTGCCTCGGCGGTTCTGTCGGCCTGTGCACACAGTGGGTCTAGACGCTTACCGGGGGGTGAGTGTTCCTGCTTTTTGTTATTTTGGGGGTGCGGGGTTTTGACACTGCAGCCGGTTCTACAACTGGGGTTGCGGTCCCCTGTTCCCTGTGGTTGTTGCAAGGCTCGCGCTTCTTTTTACCTCGGCTGCGGCGGTGGTTCGATCAGCCAGAGGTAGACGTGCTTCCAATCCTCTTTGGGATGAAGCCGTCTTAAAAAATCGTACAGTGGCTTGCCACTGTTGGGTGAAACATGGGCCTTAAGGTCTCTGGTGATGCCTTTGACCCGCCCATCGAGAACCTCCTCCTCGCCGATCACCCGGTACCTCACGGACTTGGTGCCCTTTGGTCGACCGGGTTTCACGGCGAGGAGGGGCATCACATCCATCCCCCTCAGTCCTTCAGCCTTCAGGTGGTTTTCCACGGTCATCGAAACGCCACGCCTCAGGCAGGAAAGAGGGCGGATCACCCGAAAGAAATTGCCTGCAAATTGAGGCCCCCGCTCCAACCTGCGGACTTCGAGAACGGTGTTGGTACACCCCTCTCTCCGCATCTTCTTCAACTGGTTCTTCGACACCTGAACGAGGCTTACTTGAAGGCCACTTGCTCTTCGACCGCTTCCGGCCTTGGATCTCATGGCTTCAAGCAGACCCCGGGCGCCCACCCCGGCTGAAGGAGCTTGAGCTTGCAAATCTGCAGAAGTGATCGGCTCTTTTTAGGTATTTGGAGGCCGCTTCGCTAGTGAACTGGCACATACAGCAGTCGCTGTAGTTCGACGCCATTACTAGCTTCCAAAAGACAGTTAGCATACCCCCTTAAAGTGCGAACGGAGGGTCCAGAAACGCACTGCGTGTACGGTTCGGGTTTGTGTTCCTGAGGGGTCTAGATTGTCGGAAGATGGCAATCCTGGTTGGTGGGTTGGGGGGGGGGGGGGTCACATTGCCAACAGGTGGCAATCACACCTGCGTTTTTGGTGCTTAGCTGCCACTTGCCAGGCCTGATGGATTGCCGGCAGGTGGCAATCTTAGGGGGTCTAGATTGTCAGAAGGCGGCAATCGTAGGGGGGAGGGGGGGTATAGATTGCCAACAGGTGGCAATCACAGGAGATCTAGATTGTCAGCAGGTGGCAATCTTAAGGGGGGGGGGGTGTCACATTGCCAACAGGTGGCAATCACACCTGCGCTTTTGGTGCTTAGCTGCCACTTGCCAGGCCTGATGGATTGCCGGCAGGTGGCAATCTTAGGGGGTCTAGATTGTCAGAAGGCGGCAATCGTAGCGGGGCACAGATTGCCAACAGGTGGCAATCACAGGGGATCTAGATTGTCAGCAGGTGGCAATCTTGGGGGGTACAGATTGCCAACAGGTGGCAATCTTAAGGGGGTACAGATTGCCAACAGGTGGCAATCACAGGGGATCTAGATTGTCAGCAGGTGGCAATCTTAGGGGGTACAGATTGCCAACAGGTGGCAATCTTAAGGGGGCACGGATTGCCAAGAGGTGGCAATCCTGGTGGGGGTTGGTGGAAAGGGGGCGGATGGCTGTCACACTCCCTTGCTGGCCGGTTGCCCTTTGGATTGTCAGCAGGTGGCAATCTTCAGGGCTTCAGATTGTCAGCTGGTGGCAATCTGGGTGGAGCTTGGTGGAAAGGGGGCGGATGGCTGTCACACTTCCTTGCTGGCCGTTTGCCCCTTGGGATTGTCAGCAGCTCTGGACCCTCCCGGCGGATGGCTGTTACACTCCCTTGCTGGAATGGGGTTCAAGGTTTGTTGGGCTCTGGGGTTCGTCAGGGTGGAAGCTTTGAAGGGGCTTTGGAAAGGTTAGGGCTCCAGGAAGCTTCGTCTGTCACCACTACAGTAGGGCTCCCGGAATCTTCGGCATCCACCGCTACAGGAGAGCTCCAGGAAGCTTCGTTGTTCGCCTCTCCAGTAGGTCTCCAGGAAGCTTCGGTTTCCGCCTCTACAGTAGGACTCCAGGAAGCTTCGGCTTCACTTCTACAAGAGGCCTCCAGGATGCTTTGGTTTCGACTCTACACTAGGGCTGCAGGAAGCTTCGGTATCTACCTCTACAAGAGGGCTCCAGGAAGCTTCGGCACCCACCGCTATAAGAGGGCTCCAGGATGCTTCGTTTTTCGCCTCCGCAGTAGGGCTCCAGGAAGGTGGGCTTTGGTGGGTAGGGTTTTCGGGGGTAGGGGTTTAGGGTTTGGGGTTGAAAGAGCTTGGTTTGAGTAGATTGAAGGGTTGTCATTTTTTGTGGAGCTGGTGTTTGTTGCATGGGGCCGCGGTGTCTGCAAGTCAGGTCAGGGCTTTGGGATTGGGGTTTGCTGTTGTGTTCGGGGCTATGACGAAGGCTTTCGAGATAATGGTTTGGTGTTGGGGCTTTAGCTTTCTTTTTATGGCCGAGGCCGTATTTTATTAGTGGTTCGGGGTTTGTGGTTAAGGGTTCCTTTTAGGGTTTGTGTCGCCGTACTTTAAGGGGTTAGTTCCTGGTTTCGAATTCCATTGCGTTTCCGCTAGTCGCTTTAGATGTTTCAAGTTCCGAAGAAGTCGACCTGAGCCCGCATGTCCCTTTTGGTAGGAACGCTTCAACTTTCAAGTTTTATTTCATTTGAAGTCTGGGTGCTGCCCGCGACGTTGCTTCTCGGGTTGTTTAGGTTGCTTTGCGTCGGGACGTACGTCTTTACCTTTCTTGCTCAGGTGCAGCTTCGAACGCTTCCGCCCCGGCTTCTTCGTCGTACCTGGGCCCTGATGCCCTAATGCCTCAATGCCCGAATATCCTAATCTCCTTAAGATCCAAACATCTTGGCGCCAACATATTCTGGGAGTGTGGCTTGTAACAGTGATTCCGTTTTTCGGTGGCTCAGAAGAGGGGGCTTGGGGAGTAGACACAAATGCCTGGCACATTTGATTGCAATTCTTGATTGGCTTAGAAACACCCTAATGGCCCTAATCCCCTGATGCCTCAATGCCCGAATACCCTAATCTCGTTAAAATCCAAACATCTTGGTGCCACAATATTTTGGGAGTGTGGCTTGAAACAGTGATTCGGTTTTTCGATGGCTCAGAAGAGGGGGCTTGGGAAGTAGACACAAATGCTTGTCACATCTGATTGCAGCTTAAAAACACCTGCGTTCGGTCCCGACCCCTTCCCCGGAACTTTTTCCCTAAATCCCCTTCGGATCGCAGCGGGGCGGGGCTGGGCCGGGACCTCAGAGTGTGTTGCCGTAGGAGGGTCTTCACTAGGAGTAGTGCAGGCTTCGGGGGGTTTCCGGGGTTTCTTGGAAGGTGCTCTGAGGCTGCAAGGTAGTGTCCGTGCGCGCTCCCTTCCCTTCCCCCGCCTCCTTCCTCCCCCCACCCTCCCCTCGCCCAGGTCCGACCTCGTTGACGATGCTGACTGGTCCCTCTTAGGTTTCAGGGTTAGGTTTTTTTTCGGAAGGCTGGTTGGGGCTCCGAGGCAGCGAGGCAGTGGTCCGTGCACGCCAGGTTCAGGGTTTTTTCAGGTTGGAAGGCCGGGGTTTTCGTAGGCCGCGAGGTTTAGAGTGCAGGTGCACAGGGTTCTCTGCTGGGGTCGGGGGGTTTTCGGGGTTTGTAGGTCCCTAAACCTCTCGGGGTACCCTAGGCCGCCTTGCATCCGGGATCCCCGCCCCCCCGCCTCCTTCCTCCCCCCACCCTCCCCTCGCCCAGGTCCGACCTCGTTGACGATGCTGACTGGTCCCTCTTAGGTTTCAGGGCTAAGTTTTTTTTTCGGAAGGCTGGTTGGGGCTCCGAGGCAGCGAGGCAGTGGTCCGTGCACGCCAGGTTCAGGGTTTTTTCAGGTTGGAAGGCCGGGGTTTTCGTAGGCCGCGAGGTTTAGAGTGCAGGTGCACAGGGTTCTCTGCTGGGGTCGGGGGGTTTTCGGGGTTTGTAGGTCCCTAAACCTCTCGGGGTACCCTAGGCCGCCTTGCATCCGGGATCCCCGGCCCCCCGCCTCTCTGCCCAGGTGCTTCCAGCTGGGGCGGTGCCGTCGCCGCGCCAGCTGCGGGGAAAAAGGGGGTTTGAGGCGGGTCAGGGGGGGCCGAGCGGGAGCACCACTCGCGAGTCCCGGTCCTTCCCTGGCTCGTAGGGTTTAGGGTTTAGGATCGTGACATGGCGAGGGGCCAAGCCGAGAACCCCACCCGTGACATGGCAAGGGGCCAAGCCAAGAACCCCATCCGCCCAGCCGGGCAACACTTGACGACGCAACGACGGGCCGGCGTGCCCAGCATCCGGCCGAGGAGCCATGATTCGACAACGGGCCGAGCGCCAACCATCCGGGCGCGAGCACTTTGCTGCACCGCCGCCGAGCTCTAGGCTAGGCCATAGGGGAAGTGTTTTGAGCATATCCTAGCAGGCAGCAGCAGCAGCAGCAGCAGGTAGACACAAATGCCTGGCACATCTGATTGTAATTCTCGATTGGCTTAAAACAACACACAATTTGCGGCCCAGTTGTTGCACGTCGCTTCGTCGGTGAGTCCGGACCTGAGCTTCAGAACTGTTTGCACCGCTCGGGCTTGCATGCCTTTTGCCTTTCGCATTGGATTCCATGTCTGAGTGATTGAGTGCAGTGCATACAACTTCTGCTTCTGTGGCCACTGTGGTTTACGGTGGGTGTTTGATGGGGGTTACGGGATTCGTATTTGGGGTGTCTGGTTTGGGGTTTCCCGGGCTTTAAGTTCTAGGGTGCAGCGCTGTTCTGTATCTTTCTTTTGCATCTGCCGTCAAAATGGTTTGCATTGCTTCCGCGCTTCTTTTTGTATGTCGTTGTCGCCTGTACTCAAAACCATAGACCCCGCAGCTCATCATCACACCTTGGAATGCACACCTTGAATTCCCAATGTGGCCTCGCATTGTCTCTTCAGACAGCAGCCATTTGCGACATCTCAGCGTTGGGTAGCCTTGCGCCTACAATCCGCTTCCGGCGAGGCGCACTCGGCGCTGCTGGTCCGTTTGCTCCCTTCATCTCTTTGCTTGT